ACCCGCAGTTTGCCCTAGGTCTTGAATTTCGAGCCACACCCATCAACTAGGTCCTCCAGTAGAGAGGTTAAAATAAGGGTACCAACTTTGTTCTGTAGTCTATTTTAGGGGACCCCTCCCAACCAAAAAAGGGGTGAGAAAGGGCACCAATTGCTGGGGGACCTAGTCAAGAATGCTCCATTCACATCCTTTACACCCTTTTGGCTGAAAGAATCTGACAGGTTGCTGACTGACACCTGGCTGGGACTGACTGACAATAAGCGCGGCGTCACTCTCCACGCCTTCGGCTTCGGCTTCGGCTTCCGCTGCTTCGCCGTGGGCTGAGCCTGCGGCTTCGTCGGGGTGAGCCTGGAGGCCGCACGGACATGGCAGGCATCTACCTTGGTTGCTGCAACGACCCCCCTGCAAAAAGTGTTTCTCACCCTTTTTTTTGGGGGGAGGGGTTTAGTGGAAAACCCAACTTGATTTCAATCAAAAAGTTCAAGTCTAAAGATCCAACCCAACACCAGTCAAGCTACCTAGAGTCTCCATGACCCGTAAAAAAAGGAGCATTACCCTAAATAATGGGGTCATGGACCTATTTTTAAAGAGTCATGGAGAATCTAGGTACAAGCACCGTTGCGCCTGGCAAGGAGGAACTCATGTACACAAATGCTCATGGACTAATAATTGGATGTCCAAACGGCAAAAACCGTATGCAAAAAGATACTTGAAGGACGCCATTCAACTTCAATGCTCATGGCTTGTGATTCTCTGCCAGATCCAGGAGATGCGTTGTATAGTCGTTGATTCAGAGATGAACCAATAGAAAGGAAAGCAATTGAAGTCAAAGGTCTGAAGTCAAAGGCATCCGGAGATGCCTTGCGGTAAGAGATCGCTTCGAAGTTGCGGTGCAAAACCTTGCACAGCCAAATGTCTCTTTCCACATGTTTCTCCAAATAGGAATCGGGCCCGTGCTTGCATGGTTTTTAATGGAAAGCCAAGAGGACACCAATCGCCTGAAGAGGCCCCTAATACTATAGCCACTATTTATCTTTTCATGCCTTCACCTCACAGACCACATCATATCCTGTCATCGTGACATTTGCCCTTTTCCCCCCTGCAAGGCCAGAATCAGTCAAGAGCACTTTCTGGTTGAACTGCGGCACTCCGCAGGAAGAACACAACTGGAGAAAGTATCTTTCGCATGCTCAAATCTACACATGCTACGCACGGCAATAGACACAAATCCAAGAAGCGCGTCACAAGGAATCTTGCTCACTCCAAACGCTCCAAAGAACATTTCCTTGGTATCACAGAAAGTGTGCCAACACCTCGCTTGCCACACCTGTTCTTTCATGGGCCAACAAAGGAAATGGGCAAACACAAAACGGACGACATCCCTTTCGGGGTTGTCCAAACTACATCCCCAATCCTTGGGACACTACAAGGGAAGCCACTGAAAAGAAATTTCCCCAAAACCAGGATCCTGGTTCCACGTGGGCAACTGCCGATCCCTGCCTCAGAAGCATCTTGAGAAGCCGACGGCCTGTGGCAGGGAACACACCAAAGGTTTGACCATGTTTGACCCAATCTCTTGGTTTGCCGACAAGGGTCCTACTTTCGGACACACCCACATGAACAATGCCTATTGGGATTACCTCGCGACACATGGTCCAAATTCTGGATCCGGGTTGCTCACCCCCATTTGGTCCAACGGGGTCTCTCAATCAGTGGATTTGGTGTGCCCATGCGTATGTGCTTTTTTGAGATGACTCTGATTCTTGGGTTGTTTCTTGGGGAATGGAAAACACCCCCTTTTGCTGTTTCCCCGATTTGACAACCCCATTTCCCTTCACGGGTTGTTCCCAAGTCTCCAGTGCTTCAGTGTCAAGGAGCCGTGGCCCCAGGATTCCCATCTTGTCCATCTTCAAAAGGTTGACCAAACTGAACAACTCACAGCAAAAGCTGAGATGGCCATGGGTCAAAATCCAAATCGGTTAGCCCCCAGTGAACATCCGATTCAATATTCAACCACTAAAATAGGTTCTAACATGGGTGGTGCACCTACCCCAAGATGGTACCATTGGTTTTGACCCACAGCCAGATGTGGCATTGCCACAAGGACCGACCTCACTATTGAGCTCTTTGTGCCTTGCCATAAGCAAACCCAATTTGGAGACCCCCCCCCAAAAAAAACCAGACCTTCGCTGCTCAGAGTCTTGCAGGCCGGCCTCTGTTGCTCCAGCGACCTGGAGCTACCAAAACCAAAGGGCGCAACTCGGCTCATTGGACTCACTCGTTGGTCTCGCAGAACTGGCATTTTCCACAACTTGTTCACCACCACCACCACCAGGAAGGGTTCACGGAACCTCTCAATCTTTCTGGAGGGAGGGAGGTCCTGATGTATATATATCCTGACCACTGATCAACTCACCGCGTCTCAGATCTTGGCTCAATGTGGGTGTCTTTTTCGAGGGGCCCTTTTTGGGGTTGGTTTGCAGGGAAACCGAAAGGAAACCACTGAATTTCGGATTCCCTAGTTTGAGACAAAGCCATATCATGGTTGCTTGAAACAGGCGGGTGACAGTAACATTCGTTCCAGCCTGAATACGCTACGCGAAACAAGGCACATCAGGGACACCGCTCGCGACCCTGCCCGGCATGTCTTTGGCGACAACATGCATAATGTTGACGCCATATAAATCAACCCCAGTTTATGAATATGGGGGTGTTCCCCTCCAAAAGGGATTATTCCCCACTAAACTCAGGGACTTCCCCCTATTAATCAACTGTGGTTGATCAATATGGGGTCAACATTGCTGGAAGTGGTTGTTAAGGCATCTGGTGAGACAACACCCGAGGCAAGTGCCCTTCATACGTCAAGCGATCCAGCGATCTTTCTGTTTTGCTTGTGACTGATCTCGGTGTAGAGCACAAGCGCACTCACGTGAAATGCAAGACACGAGCCAGAGCGATGCTCAAAAGCACTGCTCCCTTTGGGTTGGCCTGGCGCAATTCAGCTGGAACCATTCAGATGGACGAGTCCAGTCTGGTCTTCACTGTTTCCCCAGGCTCGAAGCAACCATTAAGTAGTCACGAGCAAAAATCCTTGCCGTCGAGAGCCTGGAAATGCAAGGCTTCACCTTCTGGAACCTTGACGAATGGATCAAACATGGATTTTTTGGTGAAAAGATCGATTCGCTTTGAGAATAGACAGCTGCTAGAAAAGGAAGGCCTTGGTACCTTGCATATCTTCCTCCGGCAGCTTCCATGTGAAGAGGTCTCCCCGCAGGAGGCTGACCCCAATTCTACTGGCCTGGTCTTCCCCACCAAAGGCAACATGGAAGTATATGCCACCAATTCCATGTTCAATGGGCAAAAAAGCGCCGCCAGTGGAGAGACCTCCAAACCCAGCCGATCCGCCTTGGAGGTGCGAAGACCAAGTCATCCATGGCCCAGAAAATTCATCGGAATGCCGAAGCAGTTCAACGTGCTGCGTTGGATTTGTCCGCCCAGTGCTCTGGAAAGCAGCTGAGGCAAACATGCGATAGTGCACTCCATGGAAATGGTGCTGGTTGCTGCATGTTTGCATGTCGGCGAAGATGGCAAGCTCGCGATTCAATCGGACCAAGTCTATGGGGAACGCCCTTTTCTTGGAGGGAAAAGAATGAAGCGCGAGTCCCTCAAAAGAAACCTCACGCATCAGCTCAAGTCAGGGGCCTCTTTTTCATACCATGTCCTTCCAGGGCCCTCCTTTGGCTCCGGAAGGCTCTCTCTTTAAAGGCGAAATCGGATACACCCAGCTTCGGAACGCTCCCTTCCAACCTAGTTTTGTTGCTAGGTTTAAATGACCAAGACGACCGGACAGACGGGAATCAAACACCGGCGGGCGCCGATCCAGGAGCTCGCCTTGGCTCTTTGGCAAATTGGGGTGCCTCACAAAAGGTTCACCTCCGGGAATTCTCTAATTATTCTAGGGCTTCATTCCTTTTCCATTCTTTTCAACCACCCTTCTTTGCAAAAACCGATCTGCTTCCCCTAAAATTCTGCTGGTTTTCTGGAAAGATTCGGATCCCTGGAAAGAATGGAATTGGAGGTGTCCCCATAAAATGTTGTGATTTGGCCATAGATCATCTCCAAACCCTTCAGGTGAAAAAAACCTAGTCATTGGCGGTGTGTGGCTGAGCGAGTGCCCGTCCACGGCAAAAAAAAAGAAGTTGCACATGTGTCAAAATGAGTCCAAATGAGTGTGGGGCAAACTTGGGCCAAAAATTGGTCAACTTGGCTCGTCAAACTCAAACCAGGTCAAGACGGGTCAAAACTGGCTCGTCAAGCTTGGTCAACCCCGGATCAAAATGCGTCAACTAGCAAAATGATCTCACTTGATAGAAAGGATCAAACTTTGAACAGTCCTTTGACCTTTTGTGGCCTTTCGCACTTCCTGAGTGGGCCAAACAAAGTCTGAACTTTCTATTTGCCACCAAACAGTTTAAAGTCCAAGAAAGTCCAAAAAGTTCAAAGTCTGAACATGGTCTCCCCAAAAAGTTGTTGTTTTTCCTCCAGGAACTCAGGGAGTGGCCCTTTTGTGCCGTTTGGACCTGAAGCAATCCCCGCTTCCAGCTGTTTCCTTGAGGGCCGGAACCAACGCGACGCGATGTCTGACGAAAACCAAGGGATCCACGCGGCTTAAAATCGTGGGACCCCCCCCCACCCCTTGCAAAATAAATGTTTTCCTTTTGGCTTCCCTTGGAAACCGACCAACAAAAGGAAGTTCCTTTTGGCTTCCCTTGGAAACCGACCAACAAAAGGAAGTTCCCAAAAACGACTGGTATTGGCCTTTCAATAACCTTTCTGAACGTGGTACTTCACACATGGCCATGAATCTAAATAAAAAAAAACCAGCTGAAAAGTGATTGGTGGACATGAATCCCCACCTAAATAACGTCCACCAAAGAAAACCCCTATTAAAAATTCATAGCCACATGCACGGCTCGCACAGCCCAGGGGGGGGCGAAAACCTCTCCATCATCTCCCAAGAGGTACTTCATGTCTCGGGGCTGCAAGCGGGCCTGCGCTTGCCGAGCTCGTCTTCGCGCCCATGGGGTTGGCTTTGGATCAAAGTCGGTTCCGTGAACGACAGCTTCCATTTGCTTAAGACCCCTGGAAAAAGAAGAAGATATGTCCAGTAGTGCTAAATTCCTTTTACAAACCAACAAGGGAAAATAAAGAATAGTCTTAAGCAAATGGAAGCCAGGATCGAAAGACTGTCCTGGTCGTTTTTTGTTTTTTTTGCGAGGCAGCTAGGTTGAATCCAAGCAATCCGAGTTGCAGTTGTCACCACTTGTCTAGCCCTCCCAAGCACATGGGACATGGGAGAATGGCCATGCAAGTCCCGAAGTGGCTCCGTTCCCATCTTCATGTTTCAGGGGCTATGTCTGGCAATCAGCTTGCCTAGGCAACAGCACGCCGAGTGAGACCTACCCTCAAGGTCTGAAAAGAAAACTATAGGTTTGTCTCAAACTCGGTGTCCTCCCTTTTCTTCGGCCTCGCTAAGCCAACCCCAAAAGAGTTCCTTCGAACAAAACACACCCAACATCCTCACTTCCCCATGGCACGCCTCGTTTGAAACAGACAATTGCTTTTCTTCGCCAGGCTGGAAGGCATCATCAGTTCTGGAAAAAGTACACCCAGGGTTCCACTTGTTGGCCAAGGCATGGTTGATTGCTTACCAAGCGGAACCCCTGTGTGTTATGCATGAGGGTTGAGGCCCCCTTCAAACTGCCAGGCCTTTCGCACAATCTTCGCTGCCATCTCCTGCCAAACGAAACTGCGAGCGAACGTCGCATGTCAGATGGAGTGGCGTTTGCTCCGCAAAAGGGAACCCGATTTTGGTCGCAGCCCCATCTGGCCAAAGAGGTTCTGGGAAAACCTCTTGCAACCTCCCAGCCACCACCCCCCAGTGCCCAACGAGACACACGGGGGGTTTGCTCTTGTCTCGTCTTTTGTTTTCTCGGGAAACCCACCCTAAGAACACAGCGCACTGTAGGTCGTAGGCCAGCCCGTTCGTAGCATCGGTCCTTATCCTTGCACTTGGATGCCCCAGATTTGGGCGTGCACCTGGCGGCAGCGCTGTGTGGTGAAACCCCAAGCGGCTTTTGGGGTATTTCACAGAAGGGAGCCCTTGAGGTGGTTGGTCCTGGATTTCTCCAGACATCTGGCTGTCGAAATCTCAAAGTGCTATGACACCTTTGAAGGACACTCTCACATTCACAGATCGATTCTACTCACGCGGATGCCCCGAAATTTGCAGTTCTGTCCCTAACTTGCCTTGCTTTGGGAATGCAGCAATCAAAAAGGCATGTTCGTGCCAAGCATTCCTGGCTGGTGGGTCAGCCCCTTTGTCCCTGTTAAGGCAGCAACCCCCATTTTTTCACGTGCCAAATCGACACAGGGGCCCACCTTTCGAGAGGTTTGCGAGCATGGGCCAAACGACCCGTTTTGGGTCTTGGGGGTTCATCATTCTTAGTGCGTTCAACCCACCAAGCAACAACTTAAATGTCGTGGTTTAGCGTTGAACCCGGCACAAATCCAACAAGCAAGGCACTTGGAGGATATCCACTGAACCAATACGTCATGCTTTGAGGGTACTCTTCTTAGGATTGATTTAAATTCATGGAACGTCTCCTACAACACACCTCCCAAAATCCAAAAATGGTCTGTTTTAGTCTTTCCCAATCCTCTTCAGGGCGTGATTGACGAAAAAAGGGGACACACCGGCCCTTTTTTTCTTTGCGGGGGGTTCCAAACCCCCCCAAAAAAAAATCCGAGACGCAGCCCTTGAGACCGAGACCCAAGGCTCCGCCCCAAAGGCTGTGCACCGCTCCGCAAAGCTCGCCTCCAGACCAAACCAAAGGTGCCTTCCCCCAGGGGCCCATTGCCCACCAGCGCATACCTCGAGGGCTCGAAACGGACCGGGCGCTAAAGGGGGCTACGTTTGGGAGGTGGGCCGACGAGCCAACGCCCTTTTTGGAGGCTAGAATTTGTTTGTCCAGGTTTAAAGGAGAACCAGAAACAGTCGGGGGACGAAACTGATTATATATATATATATATATGTCCTCTTGGGGAATCGCTCGCAACTTTGCCTCACATGTGGGCCATGCCATCCGACTGCATGGAACTTGGCCCAATGTTTTTGAGGAATCCCCTTTCGGGGGAGCGAGTAACTTTTCCAGGCCAAAGCGAGTAATGAAAACGCAGCTTAACACCCCAAGGCAGCCCTGACCCCCAGTGGCCATGGAAATAAAAGGGCACGCTTTTCTTTTTGGTTGTTAGATTTTGAAGGGCACCACTAGACCTCCGGGGAGAGATAACCATCCCTACCAACCCTGCGGAAAAGCATTGTTTTGACCAAGCGCTTTTTTTGGTGAGGGAACTAGATCTGCTTGAGCCAGGCTTCACCTTTGGACACCCGCGTTGAAACAAGACATAACGGAACCTACAGGGTCCTGGAAAAGGTTTCCAGTTGCTGAAGGGTGCCCACAATACATAATGTGTTCCAATCATATCCCTTTGAACAAATGGGACAACAAAACAGCATCACCCCAAGCAAATGCAAGTGTTGATTATCACTTTTGGGTAGCCCCTTTGACCCCTTCCTTCCCACGCGGGAAATCAAAAAAGTACCCTGCATGGGTGCAAGGTCCAACCAAATGTGATCCATCATTCACGTCACCTTCCACTAACAGGCCTGGAGTTGGCTGAAATTGTCATTGTGATACTTGGACTCACACCTATTCGTGACAACGGGGTAACGACCCATGTACTCTTCACATTTCAGAGAGCGAAAGAGAGCGAGAGATAGATGATGATAGACAAATAGGTTGCCAAGGGCGAACGGATAGGTAGGTGGAAGCACAACCATTCCCATCATGTGGGACATAGGATTCACTCCCGACATTGGTGGGGCCGGACGGGGATTTCTCCAGTTCCTAGGGCTGGGACAACCGTCCAAAGCGAATGGCAGCTCACAACATGAAGCCTCGCAAGCCAAAGAAAGACCTAGGAACATGACTAGGTCCCCCAGTAGAGAGGTTGGAAGAAGGGTACCAACTTTTTCCCGTAGTCTATTTTAGTAGGGGAACCCTCCCAACCAAAAAAAGGTAAAAGGTCACTGCTGAGGGACCTAGGAATTGTCACAAAACAAACTTGAGACAACACAGCGAGACTCGGCTGAAGAGCAAGCCGCCTAGAACAAGACACTCACGCATGCGCTACACACAAGCTGACTAGTTGCGTCTAAGAACCAGGAGCTGCTACAGAAAACTCACCCAAACTCTCCAGTTTGTGGCTACTTCACATAAGACTTGCGTAGAAGCCGAGTCAAAGTAAAACGAACCTAGGTCCTCCAGTAGAGAGGTTAGAATCAGGATACCCTTTTTTCTGTAGTCTATTTCAGTGGGGGAACCCTCCCCCAAAAAAGGGTGAAAGGGCAGTACTGGGGGAGCTAGGAACCACGTGGGGCACTTGTCTTCAAACTCGGATTTGTCCGGCACGGTGGTTTCTTCAGGCTGATAGTCGTCAAAGAGGTTCGAGCAGCTCTCCTGCGATTCCACTGACTACTTTGGCCAGTTGAAAGGGAACAGGACGAAACCACGTTAAACGTCAAGTCGTTCAATGGGAAACTTGGCAATCTGAAGAATTCATTCACAGAATCCCGGGTTGCCAAAACGAGACCGTGCCCGGGCCTATGAGGGTTTGCCTTTTGACAGACTCCTTCAGAACGCAGCGTGCCCGAGGGACGCTGTCACAACCATTCGTATTTGGTCGACGCAGCTGCTTGAACGTTGGCTTGGTCTTCCAGCATTGATGTTTCTTATGGTGACTCCTCATTGAAACCTGGTTGTAAAGCGTGTTATAGTTGTATCCTCTCACACAGTGCCCTGGACAGGCATGTCGGCTGGAGGACATGCAAACATTGGGTGCCCTTTGGTTTTTGCGGACCATACTGCAATAGCATTGGTATGGAACAGACCATCCATCCAAGCTCTCCCGAAGACAGAAGCAACATTGAATACGCGTGACTTCTACATTTTGTACAACACCTGAATTAAGGAACCCCCCAAGTAAGGGGCCATTGTCGTGGTTTGGTGAGCTCGCTTTGTCTTGCAGTGAACCCGCCATACCATTGGCAAATGACTTTCACACCCAGGTGGGCAGGGTACCCAAAGATTAACAGATTAAAGCCCTGATTGACATGGATCCCATTTGCACCCCCTTGGTGAGGGGGGGGTCCATGTTATTAGGTCGGCATCTGGAGTACACCCAAAAAAAACATGCTTTTCAGACGCTCCTTTGACAACCAAAATTTATGGGCATGCTAAACTAAGGAACCCCTTTCCTCAAACACGACTGGACGGTTTTTCCTTCTGGGTGTCCCTTTAAACCGACCCCGCAAAGGGCACCCACATAAATAGACTAGGTCCTCCAGTAGAGAGGTTGGAATAAGGGTACCAACTTTTTTCCGTAGTCTATTTTAGCAGGGGAACCCTCCCAACCAAAAAAGGGGTGAGAGAAAGAGCACCTAGCTGGGGGACGTAGCTTGTGATGGTGGTGAAAGGGACACCACCCCCAAAAGTGACACCACCCCCAAATTACGAATCCCTCAACTGAGGCACCTAGCTGGGGGGACCCAAACTCGGTTGCTTTCTGCTCCCCTGCTAAAAGTGTTTAACCTTTCGTGGTTTAATACGGAAAACCCATGAGTTGGCAAAAAGTTCTCAAGTCCTAACAGCCCTTGGCAAAATGCACCAAGGCAACCACCAAAGGTTTTTTTTTTGTTTAAACGAATCCCTCAACTGGGGCACCTAGCTGGGGGGACCCAAATAGAGAAACCCCAAAGACACACCACCGGGTGGAAACCGCCCGCCGCTGGTACATCGCATCCGCTCCTCACGGACCATGCCCGTGTCACCTAAAGGCACGGAATCGGAAGGAGCTGTCCATTTTAGGAACCACCCAAGGCGGAAAGAAACACGGAAATTCCCACAGGGTCGATGTGTGTTGTTTCAAAAAATAGAATAACACATATATATATATATACATATATAAAGGAACAAATAACAAACGCAAATCCCCATAGTGCGGATGGTTGCGAACTCCAGAAATCGCACCACCGAACTCGGAAACCCTGGTTTCTGATGACTCCGCTGTACATATCAACAAACGCTGGTTTCATTCCCATGGTTTCTGAGGTGCTGCGATTTCTGGATTCCTCCGACCATCCACAGGGCCCCAACAAAAAAGGTGGCCTAAGGCCTAACAAAGGTCTCGCATCTCTTGTGATCCCCTCAGCCCCTCCCTCCGCTTTGGCGGGGTACAAAACTCACAAACGTGAACTGGGTGCGGGCTGACAAACACTCAGGAATCTGGAAAAGAAATCGTTCCACGAGCCAATGTCATTTTCAGGTATGAGTCTTGGAGGTATGGAGGTAATCTACCACCTACAACAGGAGGGGTATACCGCCTTACAACTTATATTGGTATATAATGGGACGCCTGGAGAATGAAGCTCTTGGTGTCTAGTTGGGATTCACCTCTTTTGGAGGGAACACCCCCAATTAATGGAGCGGCTTCATTAATCCAGGGGTCAATATAAAGCATACCTTATGCCCAGTCCTTCTCTTTTTTAGGCCAGCTTCTGGTTTCAGGGCCCTATCCTTGGCAGATTTTCAATTTGTTCGACCCCCCCCCCGCCAACCTGTTGTTGGGGCTGTACCAAGAGGTCGTAAAACTGATGGGATGGAAAATCGAACGGTTCCCCTTGTTCCGTGTAAGCCGCGAGCTTGGGGGTAAGTTTACGGATGCTACTTTTAATGCACGTTGAATGGGGCCTGGAAAACACTTCAGTGTCTGGGCAAATAATCAAACCTCGCAAAACCGGAAATAAGGACCCCCAAGGCAAGGTACCTTTCCAGGGGAGCTCGCGTTACCACCCATTTGAACTCGATCTGTGTCCAGTGTCTGAATCGCAATTGCCAGACACACAAATGTCGGATCGCTGAACCAATCCTCCCGGGTGAGATGGGCGTAAAATTTGCTGGGCGAATTATCCATCCTGGTGGAGCGATCCGCACAAGTTGTGTACCAGGGAATACTGGCCAAGATCTGCTTTGGGAAATATCTTACACAGGATACTTGCCCTGAGTGGCCAAGGCCAAATGAACACGTTGCTTTTGTGAGAGGAAACCCCCCTGTGGAAAGAGGATCCAGAGCTGACATTGAGTCTTGGTGTGGTTTCTTGCCAGCTGATGTCTTCCGCATTGCAGATGACAGATGGGCATATCAAAATAGGGGGGCCCAAAACATATGCGGTTTTTCTCTGGTGTCCCTTGAACAACTCACCCAACAAAGGTACCCGCAAAACACACACCCACCGCGGACAAACCGGAGCTCAAAACTCCCTGCCTGCAATGCTTGAGGCTTGCGGTGTGGGCGCCTCATTCGCAGCGACCCTCCCGGGCACTGCGACATGCCCTCCAACTAGAGGAACCCTCTTTGAATAAATGGGTTACGTCTGGCTTCCAGTGAAAACAACCCCAAAGCGCCTTGAAAGAAAGACATACCATATTCTTGCAACTTGCAACTCTTAAACCCGCGGCGCCATCTCGGCAAACAAAGGACTTCAGGCTTCGCCGGCCCAACTCGCTAAATGCTCCAACTCCATTTGCTGCAGGCGCCACAGCAAACAAGCTCACCAGCTATGGCCATTTCCTTCTCAGACTCAAAGAGCAGAAACACAAATTGAGGTTTGTCAAATCGTTTGGGTCCTTTTTGTCATCCCCTTCAAAATACGGCACAAGGCAGTGCCAAAATCCACGTACCCATTTTGGGGGTGATGTTAAAAGGAGTCCAACCGATTTTGCAACCACTTACCATCTCCTTCCAGCGCTCCAATTTTGGTAGCTCCGAAAGGCTTCTTAATCGGCAAACTTGGATACAGCTCCTTGGCTCGGCTCCCCAGCGAGTCACTTTAAGACACCACAGGCGTTATTTTGTTTGTTTTCAAACGTTGATGAATGATCAAGTTACTGATAGTTTCAACCTTGAAACTGCAACTTTTGGAGGTAACCCAAAGGGGACTCCCGGCTCGGAAACCCCGAAATCCAAGGCTTAGCCCTGGCAGATCTCTGTGCCTTGGCTTCGACGCACTCCGGAGCATCTGGCGACGGGGACCCAGCAGACCCGAAAACGGGCGCCACTCGCTTTTCCTTCTTTTGTGGAAGAGCCCGCAAAACCACAGGGGTACCGAGCCTCAAGAAAAGACGAGCCACCGTGGATGTCTTTGGAGGGAACTCTTGGGGTTCAAAGCACGTGAGTGGATTGAGTGGTCAAGACTCATTGGGCCCATGGTAGGTTCACACTGACAGTCAAGCATTGCAAGGCTGCGAGGAGAAAGGCCTGCCGCACTACGAGTTCAACTAGGTCCTCCAGTAGAGAGGTTGGAATAAGGGTACCCTTTTTTTCTGTAGTCTATTTTAGTACGGGAACCTTCCCAACCAAAAAAGGCGAGAGAAGGGCACTACTGGGGGACCTAGTCAAGGTAAGAATGATCCATTCACATCCTTTACACCCTTTTTGGCTGAAATCTGACAGGTTGCTGACTGACACTTGCGATCCATCGAGTCGACTGAATGTCGGTCGGTCGAAATCGTTTTGTTGGAAGCTCCCTTTCAAGGGGTTTCTTTTGTTGACCCTGCAAAAAGCTTCACTTGTGGGTCCCAATCATTGAAAATCCCGTGTTGACCAAAGAGTTCTTGACCAAACAGATCAAACAAACAACTGGGGAAAAACAAACCTTAAAAAATGCATAAACAAATCCCGTGTTGACCAAAGAGTTCAAGTCCAAACAGATCCCTTAAAAAAAACTGGGGAAAAACATAAAAAATGCATTAACAAACCCGTGTTGACCAAAGAGTTCAAGTCCAAACAGATCCAAATAGCCATCATGTCAACCAAGCGGTGGGGATCCAAGGACCTGCCTGCTTCCACATCGTTCAGGTGCACCGCTGAGTCACGGCGGTAGCCACCCTGAAAGCAAGCTTTGGATCTGGCTCAAAACTTCGCCAGCAAACCACGCGCAGCTTTTGGTCCACTTTGCCATCTACCAAGGTGCCATTCGGGCACCTCCTTTTGAGCCACACCAATTTGTCCTTGGGGGGGGCGTAAAAACATACCAGCGTTGGCTTGCAGTGGTGTGTCATCAAACATCAACATACGTTCTGGTTCATGTTGGCCCATTAGTCAACTTGGCTGTTTGACCGCGTGGACGTGCTCGTTCAACCTGCCACTTCACATGCGAACCTTTGTCGGGGATTCTAGGCGGTCTATGCGGGGGGCGGGAGACTTATCATGGCATAGCCTTCTCCCGAATCTTCAGGGCCATCATATCTCGGTGGCGTTCTGCTCCCCTGCTAAACGTTTAACTTTTAGTGGTTTAATGGAAAACCCATTAGTTGGCAAAAAGTTAAAGTCCTAACATCCAAGCAACATGCACCCAAGATATGACTTGATTAGCAGGTCTTGGCATGTGCCAAAGCCCCAACAGGCCCGGAAAAGGCACGCCGACTGCAGGCCACACACCGCTTTCAACACAAACATACTTGGGGGACTGCCTTGCAATGGATTGGACACACTTTGAGTTGACCCTTGCAACGTTCGTGGCCAAACAGAATTCGGTTGCCATGCGTTGGGGGCCTCCCAGCTATTGTCACGTGCTGGGCCGCATTCAAATTTCCGTGTACGCCAGGACCAAAGTTGCCATTGAGTTTAGAAGTGTACATAGTTCCGGCCTGATTCATACACCAACCAAAAACCATGCCATATCGAGCCTACCACTGCGGGTTCGGCTGCCCTGGGAAATTTAGTGGGGGATCGCTTTCCGAGGGTCCCACATGGTCCCACCCCCCAAATGAACCAGGGTCAATTAATCATATGGGGTCAACAGCACCAGTTGAGTACCTAGCCCTTCCACGGATTATAGTACACCAGGGTTGAAGGATATGGGGTCAACAGCACCAGGGTAAAGACCTAGCCCTTCGGATCTCTGACATTGTACCCTGGTCCCATGGGACCCCAAGATGACTCAGCAGATGAAGCACGATTGCACCTATAATAGATGATGCGCGAGTTTGTTCTGGTCCGAGGACGTGGCCAACCCCGAAAGAAAGAAATTGGTGCCCTGGTGCCCATAGGTCTCCTAGGGGAAATAGCTGGGTTTCCCTGGTGGATGATGAAACCAGGTAAACCAGGAATCGAAACCCATCCATTTTTCGACCAAAACCCACCAAGAAGGACACCTATGCTGGTGCCCGGACCTGAGGACCTGAGCTCCGGGCCATGCAGTCCAGCCCAATCTTCGAAGGCCTCCGCTCGAAACGGGCCGCTCCAAAGGGGTCCGTGGGCGGCGAAATTGGGGGCGTGGTCTGGAAAGGCAAAAAGATAAATACCCTCCCAACAATGAACCTAGAGCCTGACAGGGGTCCCTTTAAAAGGACAATCGTCTTGGATTCCCTGAGGTAGTTTAACCAAACATAGCTGAATTCACATTGTTTTAAGACCAATAGCTCTCGTTTTTGGGGAACTGGAGCCATGCATTGTTTAGCGCCCTACGGACGACTCTTCTAGCTCTTGGAATCAACATGGGAGGTTCTGAGTTCGAGCAACATCCTATTGCCACGGACAATAGGAGGTTCAGACATACCTGTCATGAGACATACTATATATATCCCGGTGAACTGAGGAAATGCTTTCGACTTTTCCAGGATCACCCACCAAAACCCACAGGTTGGGTGTTTTGGGTGGTTCAACATATGCCCTTCCTCTCCCAACCCACGGGATCGAAATAAGCAACCAAAAAGTCCCAAGTCAATTGAGGGCTTTCGACAAAATCATCCTTCCTCGGGGCCCATGGAACTTCTTGATAGTTTCAAAAAGATCCACCAAAAACCAGACAGCATCATGACGTGAAAACCAGATCGAAAACAAATAAGCCTAGTGATTATCCCCCAACAACCAGTTCACTTCGTCGGATCCATCAAAGAGCGCCCATCTTTCTTGGGACCCTTCGGACCATCTCTTTCCCAGTGTCGTTGGCAAGGAAGGGATGCAGTCAGGTGGTCCGTCTCAATTAGGGGAATCCCAACATGTGTTGGCTTCCTGGTTTCCCCTGAAAAAACCATCTAAGATATTACAAGGGCCTCAAAAAAGATACATCCACAGACAGAGCACAAAAAACATCCCCCCCTTTTGGCGTTCCCTTGAAAAAACAAAGGAAACAAAACCATCTACAACATAAAGCAAAAGGAACAACATGCATAAAACCACACCTTTTGGGCCAAGGGCTTTGGGCCGCATCCACCTAGACACAGCGAGGAGCCGAGCCGCGGCTGGCCGAGGCCGCGGCTTGCGCTCGCGCACGGTGGGCGCCAGGAGGTCGGACAAGGAGGTGGTGCCGACCATTCCTGCGACGACTAACGACACCGATGAGGGCAGAGAGGCCCGGGACGTCCAGCCGCGAGGCCGCGAAGAAGCGAAAGAGCTGGAGCCAGCTGCTGCTTGATCGTTTTTTCGGTGGGTTTGGAAGTTGGTTTCATCATTTAGGTTTGGGTTTGGGTTGATCATGTTGGTGCCAGGCCTTGCGTTGATGGTTTTGGTGGAAGGAAACCGACCTTTTCAGGGTCCCCTGGATTGCAGACATGCCCAATTAAGGAGCCCAAAGATTTAAGGGTGTCATTCAACTGATGGCCCTGGCATAGATGGAATCCATCCGCTCAACCGCTGAAATTTCCCATGGACCAAACTGATTCACTGACTGTAAAATTCGTGGGATCCTTCTGGGTGGCTCGTCTCTTTGTATTCGAATACCCCACAACTCTGGTGGCTTTCAAGGACCGCCAAAAGAAAAACACCACTCTGGTTTGAGCCCCTAAAAGACCCACCCTGAAAGCAAGTGTCAAAGGTGAAGTGAGGCAAGGGCTGTCCCTTTGACGCAATTTCGGTTCACAAGTTTGGCATCCGAGCGGCATCTAGTTCTTCCAGACACTCTTCCAATATATGAGCCATGGCCAAAAACCTTGTTCCTCAAAGAGAACATGTTCAAGAACCCTCCAACATACGATTTGAGCATAACCCTCTGAAATGATGGCTCTTTGATTTGGGTCCGGTGTACGGTTCTTGGAAAATGGACACCTGGCAAACTCTATGGAGCTTCTATCGGTGTATTGGAAAATTAGTTAGTTTGTTAGTTGGTGTGTTCATGTCCCTTCCAGTTGGACCACAGACAACAATCAAAAAGCGTGTACCCTCAAGCAAAGGCACACCCGATCGCCGGCCCGCGAGTGCGCCAAAAGAAAGGTCCTCCTTGTCCTGAATGCTCCGGCAGGACCATGCTGCCTTCCCGAGACCTCTCGCTCGTGGCTTTTGGATAAATTTGTCTCTAAGCTTCTGGCGCGATAGGTAATGACCCAGCGAGTTGGAAGTGAACCGAAAGGGAATTCCCCTTAAAAGGATAGTGGGGATGGTTTCGGATGGTTTATAGGGGTCATTCCCTCATTCCCTGCTGTAGGGGTTTTGTCTTGGTGCTCAGTAGGTAGGGAATGAATTTCCCAGCTACGGGTGTTGGGAATGAACCGCTTCTGGGGATTCCCGAAGAAACAAAACCCTAGGGGATGGCTTTCTCGGGGTCACTTGATTTGCCATTCCCTGCTGAGAACCAGCAAGTTTGGTGCTGGTTTCAAAACCACAGAGGGTCTCACTTCCGAACGAGCGGATTGGCAGAAAGCGACTAGACTCTGTTGATACCTGTTGTTTACCACTAACATGATCCAAAGCCAAAAAGTATAAAGTCCAGGAACTCAGGGAGTGAAGGCGACTCTCACCAAACGACACGCTATGACGACGCTGGCCACGATGACCCAACTCCACAGGTTCTGTCGCATTTGTTTCGGCCCAAGGGAGTGAGTGAGCCGTGTGCGAGGTGTGGCCTAACCTGGAATGACCCCTATAAGCCATCCAGCTGGTGGCCCTGGGTTCTTTGCCTCATTCCCCACTGGCACCAACAAGTAGTGGGTTTTTCCCTTGGGGTGTCATCCATCCCAACTGGGTGCAGGAGTCTGTGCATCCACAGAACAAGAAACTAGATGACTCATCTTCGACCGCTGTCAAATGATGCCCAAGCGGGCCAACGATCAGTGGATGCCAACGAGCCACACACAGGGTGTGTCAAAATAGAGGAGCCCACCAACTATTTCTCCAATTGGTAATGTTGGACCCGCTTTTATACATGGGGCTCATATTCGAGAAACTGTGTTTTACAAATTCAGCAAGAAGGAACAAGACACGGAAGCCGTAAGCAACACTGGATTAGAGTTTTTGCGACATGCAGGTTTAAATAAAACAAACACATATATATATATATATGTATTTATAGAAAAATGATATACACACAAGCACATACATATATATATATGTATACATAGTCATATACATAAATAATACTATATATATAGCTCTATATATGGACTCTTTCAGATTCTTTCTGCCTTGCCGCTCTCCAGGGTTCCCGCCTGTTCCCCAGCTTAGAGGAGTTGGAGCGGACACGCTCCTGAGCAAAGATCGCCGCCAGACTCACATGGCTGTGGTTGTCAAGACCGTTTTGGGATCCCATTTTGGTTGGTAGGTGAATTCACCACCCAGTTTAGAACCTATTTTAGTGGTTGGATTGAATCGGATGTTCACTGGCACAGGATTCTGACCCATGGCCACATGGATGCTCCCAGGACGACTTGGTTCCATTTACGGAGGCCAATTGGGGGAGCTTCCATGTTAGCCTGAGGGAGTGTATCTCATTGGTTGGGTGACTCGTTCAATGGGTTCAATGGGTTCTAGCATGCAATGCACATGATTGTCCTTTGGGTAGCCCCGAGTGCGGGCGGCTTCAGAGTCTCCCTCTAGAAGCATGCAAAGGCAGGGAAAACACTGGACCCTTGAGATTGGTCCCCTAATCCCCCAGAGAGGCCAATCCCTTCTGTCGTTAAACATACCGACCCTGTTGCTAGTTGACTTGCTCTTGAGTTCTACACTTCTTAGGATTGCAGTTGCCCCAGCAATCACCACGAACCATGCAATCAATTAATGTGTGCATTTGGTTGTCTTCTTTGTCTGTGGTTGGTTGGTGCCTTAGTTGCTTCTCGATTGCTTTCTGCTCCCCTGCTAAAAGCTTAACTTTAAGTGGTTTAATGGAAAACCCAGTAGTTGGCAGACAGTTAAAGTCCTAATCCAAGCAAAAAGCAGCAAAGGCTTGGTTGCCAGCATGATTGCTAGTGGGTTCATGGGTTGCTTGGTCGCTGTGCAAATTCCATCTTACAGCTCTCGATTTGCCTCAGGCCGGCGCGAAGCTACCACGCGCGAACCTGTCGGCGAATGGATCTGCACTGCCCCACTGCCCCTGACACCGGACAGACCTAAGCCGGCCTTTTGAATCCCATATCAAGGAGCGCAAGTTGACATCTTGAACCTGGCTTTTTGAAGATGATCAGCCCAAGACTAGCAGAGGACCCTGGATTTCCCCCTGAAAAAGAAAAAAACAAGTTGATGGTGGGGTCCATTGAAACCATCGCTAAAAATGGCTCGGAGGCAATTTTTCAAGGCAACCACCTGCGGTTGGCAAACCCCTCCGATCGTTTTTGTTGAGCCACAGCCAAACCGTGGTACCCTGAAACCTGACTCAGGGGGTAAAAGACCACTCCCTAGGAGCCCAAGAGCCTATGAGGTCCTACCCCCAAAGGCCCCAAGGGTCTTGGGCTCCTGACTGGACTGGGTTCCACGGGACCCGAGACTTCACCACGGGTCACCCACAGCCGCGCCTGAAGCGGAACTCCTCGGGGTCGTAGGCCACCCAGTTCTGGCACGTCTTCACTCGCGAAAAGTGGCGGGTCGTTCCTTGTTTTTTTGGAAAACCCGCAAAATGGGGTGGCTGCCGGGGCTCAAAATGAAACGATCGGGGCCAACCGCAGGGTTTGGTCCATGTTTCCACTTACCAGGGCAACCCATTTTGGCACCGGTTTTTTGAGCCACAGCCAAATGGGTGGGGGTTTCATGGTGGTTTCTGTTTAGGACACCAGGAAAGGTTACACTCAAAAAATGACACCCCCAAAATGGGTTGGTTTGATTTTGTGGGTTTCTGTTTGGGACACAAGAAAAGGTTCACTCTCGAAAGAAAGAGATACCATTAAATGGGTACCAAGCAGCACTCTAAGTCTTCAAAGGTTTCCAGTACCCCAACCTCACACTCGCAAACTAGCCTTGGCAGTGGGTGTGTCTTTTTTGAGTATACTCCTTGGGAGTGGTTTTGAAGGGAAGCCGACAGACGGGTCAGCATAAGTGTCAACCATGTTTCCCAAAAACAATATGATCCAGATCCCCTCTTAAACAAGACACCTTCCGTATTCGTCAAGCACCCAGAGGGTCTTGAGGCTTATGGAGGATTGCTCTCAAAAGCCACGGAATTTGATGCTCCAAACTCCATCGAATCCAGTGTAAACCCCAACAACCCACTAACACGCAACCTGTCTTGGGGGTGCATCATGTGAAAGACAATTTTCCTCTAGGTGCTTCTTTCTGCCACGGGTTTCCTTTTGGTATCTTTGGGTTTCCCTTCAAAAACTCCGAAAAAGGGGTATCCCAAAGAAAGACAGACCCATTCTCTGACGGCTCGAAATGAGCTACAACTAGGTCCTCCAGAGAGGTTACAACAAAGGTACCAACTTTTTTCTGTAGTCTGGTTTAGTAGGGGAACCCTCCCAACCAGGGCTGTGGTTGGAACAACCACTTCTGTGATACAACAAAAAGGGCTTCCCAAAGACTAACCCCCTTTTTTAAGGGGGAGATTCCAACTTGTATCACAGAAGTGGTTGGATAAACCCCGAGTGATCAACCGCAACCCTCCCAACCAAAGGGCGAGAGAGGGCAGCTGGGGGCCCTAGACAAGTGGACGGACATTCGCGAAAAAATCTGCCCCAGAGCCTCTGTGACAGCGAGCACGCCGTTGGGAGGCACCAGCCCGCGCTCAACTGGCCGAGTGGCTGCTCTTTTCTCTGCCCAGAGAGACCCCCTGCTAAAAGTGACTAACTTTTAGTGGCTTAAATGCACATCCCCACGAAACGCTAAAAAGCCAACAAGCGAAGGGAATAGCTGGAGCCACAAAGATTCTTTTGACCCCCTGTTGTGGAAGGCCTAGGCTGCACAAACACTTTGCACCATCATTTTCTTCTCCTTTTGCACCATGTTCTTCCCTTTAGATCTGCAGCGTACATTTGAGATCAATAAATCTTGCACCGGTCAAACAAATGCCACGACAGCTGCACACATTTCTCAAACTTTGCAGGATTTGTCCAGGTTGGTTTCCTTTTAGTTCTTTAAAGCCATGCAAAAGGGGTTCCCCTATTTTTGAGGCAGCCGCAACACTTTCTGCAACTCCCCAAGTGTGCAGCTTCAGAGCTGCGGTCTTGTTGCAGCAGCTTCCAAATTGTGACTCTGGGCACTCTGAAACATGAGAGCACACGGCAATGTGTCAAATATGGGGACGGCTTTTGATTGACAGTTCAACGAGCAACATGCTGGTGGGAACTGGTTGATAGTTGTAAGACCAAAGTGGTTGCAATCTCGGACTCGTGGCGCAATCAAGAAACCGTTTCCTGGGAGACCAGTTCCCCCAGTGCTGGAAGAGTATCAACAACACGGGGACTCGCCTCCCTGCAGTTGTCCCGGGACACCACTTTCCCAGAAATCATGAAAGCAGGGATGGTCACACAAAACTCCATCTTTGACTTTCGAACATTTCCCAGTGCTTCCAGCTACTATAGCGGCTTGCCTGCTCTTGCATTGGGTCCGGTTGCAACTGGAGTGAGGAAGCCAAACTTCTCCCTCAAAAGGTTTGCCGAACCGGTGGGTAGATGTTGCTCCCCAATGAGCGCTTACAGTGCTGAAAACTGTCCTTTTGGGCGGAAAGAATCCGCCTTTCACTTGCCCCCTTTGGGCCTGGAAATGCAAGGCTGACCTTTTGGAACCTTGACTAAAAATACTGTGGATGGACAAAATCCTGCACCACCTAAGAAACCCTGGTCAAATACCAACCAATAATTGTTTCACAAGGTTTGAAAGTGGTGCATGATTTTGTCACGTAGGACAACAGGCGAACAATGAAAGGTCAAAAGGTTGGATTCGGACAAGTGAGTCACAATCAAAACCTGGTACAAAAATGGTGAACCCAGAACCATGCAAAGAATTAGAAAGGCGGCCGCAATTATTTCGGCTGGGACTGCCCCTTACTAACCTTCATCTACCCGCGTTTTGATTGTGGCTCAAGCGAGACTTCCATGATTAAAACAATGGCAATCTCGAATTGTCGTTCAACTGCGAACACCTTGGTCTTTCACTGGGCCACCCAGCCAAGGTCTGCAATATGCACAGCGCGATTGGTTCGCTCCTCCCACCGCACCTCGAATGCGATCTGCTCAATGAAAATCGATGTGTTCCAGCTGCAGTGAACCGAAATTGGGGGGGAGGAAATATCCAGGAAATATGATAAGTACCCATTCCCATTTGGTTGCCTTGAACATCAATCAGCAAGGGCGATTTATCACCCAAGCAAACCCATACTCTTTTCACAGAATGACCCATTCCATGTCTAATAGCTCAAAGCTTAGATTTGACTGGGGACATCCAACATCACGAAGCACTGCATCGGCCGCCTCTCCTTGGTACACAGCCAGCACATCTGTGACACAAAAGAATCCGGACCTGGCCAAATCTGGCCAAAACTGAGGGATGGCTTCCTCATGCATTGCCGAATCCCGCACAGATTGAGGCCAATGGAGCTGGCCGGTTTGTCCAAACAGCTCACACTTCACCCATACGCCAACATGTGGACCAACAGCAAGTTGGTCTCGTATTCAGCCTGCACGGATAGCATTGAATCAAGTACTCCGAATTAGCTTGCAGTGGATAATGGGATCTTCAAAGGGCCTACATCATGGTAGGCTCAGTTGAAGATTTTTCCAGGTGGGCTTGCCATAGGCAAATTGAGTCTTAAGCACTTCCCAACAGTCGGCTTGCGTTCGGAGCGCGCACGTTCGCGTTCTGCGCGTTCGCGTTCGAATCCTTGGGGTCCGAGCGCCAGCGCCGCTGTTGTCGCAAATCACGTACTTGTACTCTACGACGCTCCCCTGAACCGAACCAAACGCGCCGTTGCACGGGATGCCTGCATAGCCTTGAGAGGAGATTCATCTTAAGGCATTTGGGGGTCTATGTCAATTCGCCTTTTTGCTTCAGGCCAACGGTAAGATAGGCAAATTGCTGTTTGCGGCCACGGGAAAACTGGGACATCTTCTTATCCTCTTTCCAACAATCATGAAAACGCTCCGATCGTCGGCTTCCACGATTGGAGGGAGGGTTTATTCCAAAAACGAAAAAAGAAAGGATCCCCAGGTAGAGGACCTATAATTCCAAAACCTGAGATGAGAATGGGATCCCGCTTTGAACCTGCCCAAGGGATCGATTCGGGCACAGCCTTTTCGGAAAGATCGACACACTGAAATCGGGAGGCGCTCAAAGCCCACGTCATATTATGTTTTTGGCGACTCTTGGGTTGAGATTCCAAGCACTTCAGGTGGCCTTTATTGAAACTCATGTTCTATCCTGATAAAGAGTTCTACTGGGGCTTTGAACTCACTACGGATCGAGTGAGTAGCACATGCTCCAAGTAGGGAACCCCTACATTTGGGCGTTCTCCGCTTGGTTCGCCCTCAACCACGCAACTAGACCTAAAACCTCCTGCAAGAAGTTGACTTCTAGTGGGGGAAGATCAAGGAAATCCCATGCGCAACCAGAGGCAGGAAACAAACTTATCCAAACGCATGCAGGAAATCCAGAGCTGCACACCAATGTGCTGAGGGAAAATGAGGAAAATCCCCAAAAAACACCCAGGTTGCGAAGCACTTCAGCCTGAGGCGGGGTGGAACAAAACCAACTCCTCTTGCCTCCTCCAAGGGCATTGGCTGAGTCTGCTTCCATAGGGGGAAGTCGGCGGCCGATGTGTGGAGAGCGATACCTCATGTCAATCACGTGGCATGTCTTGGCTTCAGATGGGGCTGAATCACTTCTAGGTCCTCCAGTAGAGAGGTCAGAATAAGGGTACCAACTTTTTTCAGGACGTCTATTTTAGTAGGGGAACCCTTTCCCAAAAAAGGGGTGAGGAAGGGCAGTACTTGGGGACCTAGTGTCAATGGACACGCGGCATGTCTTCCCTTGGCTTCAAACGGTTAATCAAAAGGTGCTTTATGGGATGACAATTGGGGAAAACTACTAAAAATGTTATACGTCCCACAAACCCATGGCCATTTGGGGCCCCAGCAATATTGATCAACACCCAAATGTTCAAATTGTGCGGCTTGGCTGTGACTGTTGAAACATGCGGTGACTCTGGCCACCAAGACTCCGGATATAACTTTGGATGCTTAAGTGAGTCACAATCAAAACCTGCTATTAAAATGGTCTACCCAGAACCATGTAAAGACTTAAGAAGGCGGCTGCAACTATTTCTGGCTGGGACTGCCCCTCACTAACCTTCATCTACCCAGGTTTTGATTGTGGCTCAAGTGATGGCTCGGGCCGAGCCAACTCAGAGCGATTCGTCCAGTCCGGTGAACAAGCGTGGCAAACGTCGCGCACACGTTGGGCCTGTGTCTCACTCGATCACTCCTAGGTCCTCCAGCAGAGTGATCAGCATAAGGGTACCCTTTTCCTTTATGGTCTATTTCAGAAGGAGCTACTGGGGGACCTTGACTTCTCTTTGCAGGCAGGTTCCGAAACCAGGGACCCGTTTCCAGACATTTAAATGGGGATTGCCGGGATGACCCACACAGCCACGCAGGAACAGAGTCCTTCAGCCTCGGATTCCTTGGACATTCCTAACCTGCCCTAGCCCAGTGGGCGTGGGAGAAAACATCGGAAAACAGGCAGCGCATCTTGGCCGCTCGAGAAGGTATGTCTCAAAGGTCATTTTCAAACACCTCAAAGGGCTGTCTCAAAGGCGACTCACAGGGCTCCCATTTGGCTTGGAATCTACCTCGACATTTCCTGGTCCAAAAAGACGAAGGACCCTAACAAACAAGGAGGCACCCCGAACAAGCAGGCCCCTTGCAAATGTTCATGTCTTAGGCAATGTTACTTCAAACAGATCAGGGACCCTCAAAAGGGTCTGCCAACTAATCAGGCTCGGCCTTTGCAGAACATGAATCGGCCACCATCCCGTAACCCCTAAGACCCCACAGTACATGCAACTTCCTTAAGACATCAAGCCCTAAAAATCCCAAAAAACAAACACTACCACAGTCCCCCAGTCTCCAAGCCCCAGCAATCCCAGCTACCAATTCGAGGGAAGCTGAACGGGACTTGAAAGCCGCGGATCCACGAAAATCGACTCATCGACTCCGACTTCGCGCTCGATCGCGTTGAGTGCCCGGGCCCTTGTGCGGGTCCCACTCTCCCAAGGCAGGCACGCTGCCTATCGAGGCTCTCGGGGTTCAAAGCTGAACTGCACGAGAAGAAAACCAATGCAACCAAATAACCACTAGATCTCCAGTACAAGCTGAATAACCACAGCAACTAAAAGGTGACACTCGGTAAATACACAGGAGCAAACCTATAGGGGCTGCACATTCAATTCAGGACAAGCGCCTCCGGCGATTTGGACACGTCCTTTTCCTTTGCTTCCCGGCCTACCACACGCACGTGCAGGCCCACGCGGGTGTCGGTGCATTTCACGGAAAAAGAGACCTGGCGAAAGGCGTGAGCGACACGCGATGGATCTCTTCCGGGGGCGGGGGGGGTTGGGGGGTGGGGGGTGGCAGGGGGAGGGGTTGGGGGGGGGGCGGGGTTGGGGGTTGGGGGTTGGGGGGGGGGGGGTCACTCCTTGATTTGCGCCATCAGCCGCCCCGAGTCGCAAAAGAAAAGGTTGAGAAAGCCTCCGCACATGTTAGGTCTTTGTAGCCAAGGGTATGCCAACAAAGGAAAACGTATGAGCTGCATGCGGGGCTACGCCCCTACCTTCCAAACACTATTGTGGTTGGGATACTGCGCCAAGCCAGAAAGCCCGGCTTTTCTCTTCAATTGGCAACATGCGGTACTCAGCTTCCCTCTAGTTGGGTGTTTGGACTTTGTGGTTTGGAGGCGTTTCGGAGTGGTTTCCCATTTCCACAAGAACCCGAGGGTCAAACCCGCAAACCGCCAATCCTGAGTCAAAACCTGGTATTACAATGGTCTACCCAGAACCATGCAAAGAATCAAGCAGGCGGCTGCACTCACTTATGCTTGGGACTATCCCTTGCGATCCTTCATCTACCGGGTTTGGATTGTGGCTCACTTGAACAGGGATCCTTACATTATACACCTGAACATTGCCTTGTAGATTGTGGCTTCCCTTTGTTTTGGTGTTGAAAAAGCCATGTTTCAAATTGTTGCAAAATGGAGATCTTTTAAGGAGCCCTCTTGAAGTTGCTGCAATGTCCGAGGCGTCCAAAACAGAAAAGACAACATGTGTCGAACCCACCTGGCGCGGCATCACTGCCTCACGGGGACTTGCGCACACCCTGGGGAAATGACCCAGAATGGTTAAAAACAACACGGTTTTATCCGGACATGTGCCTAAATGGGGTCAATACCAAGTGGGTGTATTCCCAGGGTGTAATACAAAAAAAACCTAAAGAACCAGAACTTCCCATATCATGTTTTGAAACTAGGAAGAACGAGGTATAACTTCTCTGCAGCTGCTGATGATATGTCAGTGGGAAATGGTGCAAAACCAACACAACTTGCACGGAGTCTTTGTGGCAACTAGAAAGACTCGCGCAAAGCAGCCTTCAAACCGGTTTGGCTGGCGGCTGGAACTGATGCAACATTCACGCGCCCAACACATCCAAGGCGTACAAGGTCAATCCTCAAGGACTTGCAGGAACCCACTGCAGGACCTTGCAATGGATTTCATGGGGGCTGGGGGGAGGGAGGGGAGGGAGGGGAGGGGGAAGGAGCCCAAAAAAGCCCTAAATAAGGCCTTAATAAGGTGGGCTCCCTCCCCCTCCCCCCCCCAGCCCCCATGAGGATTTGGCCAAAAGGTGCAGCAAACAAAACCAACACTCATGCCAGCTTGGAGTGCAAAAGCGTCCCAGCAACCCGGGTAAAGTGGCAACTTTTTCGTAGGGAGCCCCAAGTCACAAACCACTGAACTGAGCTTCAACCTTCGCAGTTTTCATGGAAGCCACTGGTGAAAGCTCAATTCTCGATGCTTTGGTAGGTAACCAAAGGAGCCATTTCAAAACCGAACAAGGCTGGGTAGCTACAGACCTACTTGGGATTCACTGGGTCCTGAGCCACAGTCACCCAAAGCGTGTTTTTTCCATGCGTCTCCGCTTCAGAATCTTCTGCACAGCTCTGTTTCTCTTTCCCTCCCTCCCCCTCCCTCCCTCTCCACAGCCCAGCATCCCATGAAACGAAAAAGACCCAGTGGATCTGTCCAACTTGAACCAAAGAACATGGGGCCACTGCACCACTGAGGCTTCAACGGTCGCACCCCGAAGGCTCAAGGGTTCCGGTACCGTGTGCGGACGTCCGGAGGTCCGGAGGTCGGAGGTGAATGCAAGTTCCATGGGGGCAATGCCTGTCGCTGGGATGGATGCGTTGTCACTCGGTTCATTCAACACCAAGTCCAAGGGCGATCTCGAGCCAGGACACGGTGTGCTTCATTCCAAGGTGGATTGGGAACAGTCTCTCTCTCCCTTCAAGGAAGAACCGTGTTCACTCTTCTCCACATCAGTTCACTTCTTTCTACTACTGACTACTTCCTTGCTGCCAATGCCAACGGCCTCTTTCTTTTTGGAACTTTGGATTTTTGACAGTTGCAGCGTGCTAGCTAAGCAGAAGCTCTCTGGAGTTAGAGCCCCATCAAAAAACTGGCTCAAACTTTGCGATGATTGGGGACAGTTTTAGGTTGGTCCAAAAAAAGTCGGGAGGTTTCAGGGAACACAAAAAGGCGACCAGCCAATTCTAGGTTCCCCGCCTAGAATCCAACACCCAGGATACCAAGAAACACCGACAAATAGCAGGTCCGGGACCCTCAGACCACTGGTAGCTGGTTTTGAAGGGAACTTCCTGGAAATGAAACAAGAGCACCACCGGAGGTTCCCCAATAGCCATTCTTTCATCGAAGTGGGATGTTGAATGGACCTCAATTTCAAAAAGGGCCTTTCAAAACGCTTTGGCCAACCCAGTGTATACTACTCAAGTACAAGCTCATACTACTGCTTCAACCGCCTCTCCCGAGGCGGGCAGCGCAGCGTTTACAATAAACTTCACCCAGCCCGAGTTCCTCACGTGGATGGACCAAATCCACGTAACGCAGTCATTGAGATGGCTGAAACCCGATGAATACCGTGAGACACCAAAGGGGTGGCACAGCGGAGAAGTCGCCCGCGCCACTTTTCTAGGCGCTGGGTCTGTGCAACAGCCTCACTCAGGCTCCTGCCAGTCTCTCAGAAGGGCTGACCATCCCAGGGGAAATGCTACTGTCAATGGACGGAATCGATTTCGCACCACCTAAGAAACCATGGTTGAAACCATTGTCTGCTGGTTGTTACAAGAAAATCATCATTGAAGGGTTTCTTAGGTGGTGCGAAATAGATTTTGCAACCATCCACAGTTTGGTCGCTGGAAGCACTGGAAGGCGCCTTCAACTTCTAATACACAGAAGAACAGTGGGCACAATTCTGACAACCTACCTGAGCAAGCATACAGCCAGGGCAAGCTCGTCCAGCAGTAAATCGATGTTGGCAAATGAAATCCGCCCATCTCACGGGACAAGTGACAAGTGAACAAGTGCAGGGGAAGGATCGGTCAACACGATGCACATCCATGCTTCTGGCCGGCTAGCCATCTGCCAGCACAAGGTCGTTTCAATTCTCGCATAATCATATACAACATGTGTTGCACAAAGCATCTCAATTCAGTCTTTGATGAAGTGCTAGTTTTGTCAGGCTGGCAACATGCACAGACGTGCATGACTCGTGCATGGATATATATATATACATACATACCTGCAGGTTCGATACATTGTCCTGAATCAAATAAGGGGTTCGTGCTGCTCAGGTATGATGCATGGTCCCCCTTTTGCAAGGGAATGATCTGTTTTTGGGGAATCCTCTGACTAGTGGTCCTTCGGATTGATCTGAACTCGACAATATATATTCCTTTTGGGAGAAGACTACAATTGACCTGAGTTGAATTTCCAGAAGAAGTTTGAAGCTTTTTGGTGCTTGACTCAAATAAAATGCCCCAAAACAACCGTTTGACGGTTTAAAGGCCCTTGGTGAAGCCTGGTGAAATCGTGGAATTGCACAGACCCTCGGTTTGAGCTGTTCCGTTGAGAAGCAGGTTTCTTGGTGAGGTCTTCAGTTGCAGAGCTGCAAGTGAAGGCACCAAAGTAGGCTTAAAACCAGGTTCAGGGGTTTCACCGTTTAGAAAATCAGCCACTGCAGCGCCCCCGTTTTTCTTTTGCATTCTTGTACGTGGCCATGTGAGGTAAAAGTCTTGTTGAATCAACATAAATTCACCAGGCTGCATTTAAGAACTCCCAATGACGGGGTCTGTCGCCTAATACCACTTGAGTGAGGTCACGAATCCTTCAGAAAGGAACCTTCATGGGCGCACACCTTGTCGATCGCACCGGCTTCGGTGCCCACCTTTGGCTGCTTGGTGCAAACCAGCGCGTAGGTGGTGCCGAAATGCTTCCGCTCTTCCTCGGAAAGCAACCCATCCAGGGCCGTAGATGGCACTCGTCCTTTTCTCTCCGGAAAAAAGGACTCTTTACTGCCATCTAATGACTTGTTCATCTCGACAGCACCAGGGACTCTTGCGGTAGGTTCCTGTTGGCTTCCTTTCAAGTTGAAGCAACGGGGGATTCATCTTGACACACTGCTCACCATAAGCAACATCCCTCTTCTAAGACTCTGATAATGCAAAGGCCCTATGTTGCAACCACCTTATTTCGACTTTGGTTTTAAAGTGTCCACGGCAAGAACCACGCACCCCTGTGTTGGGCTTACTTGCCTTTTGAAGGCCAAAGGAGAAAACAAAAACACACATCGAACACGGTTTTCGTGTTTTTTCAGCCTGGCATGAACAACAAGTGGCACTCGTGCCCGCCTCCATGAATGGAATTGGTACGACGAAGTCCTCCATAGTGAAGCATTCCAACTAGAAGGGGACACCCTCCCCATCAATGAGCGGGTCAACATAGACTAGACAGGGATCCTTACATTATACACCTGAACATTGCCTTGTATGTAGATGGTGGTGTCCCTTTGTGTTGGTGGAAAAAGCCATGTTTCAAATGAGCAAAATGTATCTTTTCAGGAGCCCTGCTAGAGCCGGTTGTTTTGGTGAATTTGAGCCCTTGGCTCTTGAGCCTACAAGTCCCCCCAAAAGAAGCACCGCTGACCGCTTGCCACCAATCCAAGAGTGGAGCGGACATTTGGCCATGAGCCAAAATCCCGTACCCAGTGAACATCCCAATCCCCACTAAAATAGACTATCGTGACAACCACAGCCATTTAGGACGAGTCGCCAGGGCAATATGAAGACCAGCCTCTTGGACCAGCTTCGTGATGTCTCTGTTCGCATAGCACCTGCATCTCCACCCAAAGCGCGAGCGGATTTTCCTCCGTCAGTTGTTTTGGTTTTGGGGCCGTTTGTTTTTGTCAGACAAACAAAAATATATGGAAAAAAAGGAAAAGCAACATCATCATCATCATCTTCATCTTCATCATCATCATCATCAACAACAAAAACAACAAACAACAAACAAAAAAGGTGGCGGCGGAAGGAAGGGGCCCACAGGGCACTGCTATGTCTGGGCCATCGGAAATCCGCTAAGGGAATTTCAAGGGAGCTGTTCGTCGGGACAGCCAGGAACCTCGGGCGGCGCGAGTTTTCTGGCGGATGTCGACCACTTCCAGGACTTGTTTTGCTGCCAGCCGCCCAAAGCGGCTCTATTGATTTGGCCGCCAAATCAAAATAGGATGAACACAGCACATGAGCAACAAGACATAGCTTCTGCCTTCAAAACAAGGTCTGGATGGATGATCGCATGAAGTTCAGTTGCTTGACTGTCATTCGGAATGTGTATTCCAAATGCCAAGCAGTCGAAAGAACAAAAGCAAACACGTCGCAGAAAACGGTTATGGAAGCCAAATTGACGCCGAAAGAAATAGCACAAAGCCAATCTCAAACGTGACAGACAAAATATCGATGGTACAGGGTGAAAGTAGATGGGACCATCCCCTTTGCGTCATCAAACATACTAAACCAAAAAAAATCAAACCGGGGCAGGTGCCATCTACTTTCATCATTTTCATCCAACTTTATATTTCTGGGTGCCGGTTTCAACACGGTCCCAAAATCTGAGTGTCCAGCCCGTACTTCTCCACTTGTCGGTGGATGCCACGGTTCAGCATGCCCTGCACGAACTCCCTGAGGCTCAAAAAACGAGTCGCGAAGGGCAACGAGGCAGGCCTGGCATCCTTTCAGGAACATAAGGTAACTCCTAAACCGGGTTCAGAATAGGGGCATTTGTAATCCTTGGGGCCGCAAGGGGGAAAAATGGGAAAGCAACAATCTAGCATAAGCATTATGAATTGAGTTTGAACAACCCAGCCAAGAGGGGGTTTCTGCAATTATTGAAGGGATCCCTTCATGTTCCCAAAAGGAACTCGAAATGAAGCCTGGGGCTCAATCTGGCTGTCCTAAGCATTCCGAAAAGAGGGGTGGTTTCTAAGGGGTCAAAGAAAAGCAGCACATCCCATCTAAGCCCATGATATCTTGACATGCTGTCTCCCTATACACATAACCTTCAATTCATGCCACACGTTCACCCCAATTTGCCATGGTGAGGGGGGCTATCCATTCTCAAGCCGCGTAGAAGGCCTTGTTAGCACCTCTAGGCTATCCCCGCCAAAAGCTCCGAATTGGCTCCCCCAGCATCCGCGGAAGTTTCTATCTGCATTAGCCTGGGTGAAGCCATTCCCCTGGCTCATGCTCTTTACAGCTGGCCTTGGGGAGGCTCGAAACCGATGGCGCGGCGATGTGCTACGCGCCGTCGAAGCAGCCAAAACTGGGGGGGAGTGACATCCCCAGGTCTGTACGGAGTGATCCCTTGGGGAAACACCCAACTCGGACGCGATCTGATAGACCATTGCAACAGTGAGCCCCTCCAAACGCCTAAAGCCTAAAGCTGACAAACGACTCCATTGTCGCTCTTGCCCCCTCAGCAGAAGGTCTAACCTTTTTTATGGGGTGCTCTTGCAACCCATGCAAACCAATAGATACTATATGTATATATGATATGCATATCCCTGTCTGGGTATATGAGCCCCGATTCAATTCAGTGAACATCACTCAACGAGCATGCATGCCCTTAACCTAAAAAACACTCACTTGAACAAACACGACACGCCCAAAGTATGCCTCGACACTTTGAGTCCACCTTCCTATAAAACAACGCACACACACACACACGCACACACACACACACACCACACACACACACACCACACACACACACACCCACACCCACACCCACACCCACACCCACACCCACACCCACACCCACACCCCCACACCCCCACACACCCACACACCCACACACCCACACACCCACACATGCACACATGCACACATGCACACATGCACACATGCACACATGCACACATGCACACATGCACACATGCACACATGCACACATGCACACACACACACACACACACATGCACACACACACACATGCACACACACACACACACACACACACACACACACACACACACACACACACACACACACACACACACACACACACACACACACACACACACACACACACACACACACACACACACACACACACACACACACACACACACACACACACACACACACAAAGTTCGTTGTGCGCTTCCTGATTGCTTCGCCTACAAAACAGCCAAGCTGCATTGTGAAGTGTTCAAAGGACCTATTTATCTAGGTCGTCCAGATTTGAGAGGTTAGAATAAGGGTACCAACTTTTTTTCTGTAGTCGATTTTGGCAGAGCAACCCTCCCAACCTAAAAAGAAATGGGAGAGAAAGGGCAGTAATTACTGGGGGACCTAGTATTTAAAGTGAGCTCCTTTTACCCCCACCAGGTGAGCTTGGCACAGCCGCTCAACTTGCAACTCAGAAGCTCGGCCTTGTTGGTTCATGTTAAACTGGGCTGTCCGTTTTCAGATTTTCCTCGCTAGAAAGTGACTCACTTTTAGTGGGTCAAATGGAAAACCGCCACTAAATGCTAAAAAGATCTAAAAAGCTAAGGAACCGGGTGGCTGGGAGCCACCAATTAAAGGGACACCCTTCCCCAAAAACAACACCACAGGTGGGAGTGTGACAAGCCCCCCTTCTCGCCTTTGGAAAAACACCCGACCCGTCACTGGATGAAAGTTGCCCGTCCCCAGGCGGAGAGGGACTCCCTGCGCATGCTGTAAACCGGCAATCTCTGTGCCGGCGCGGGTAAGTAAGCAGTTGGCGCCGCATGTAGTTGCTGTGTGCTTCGGTGTTTCTTCGCGTTGTGAGGCGCTACCCTGAAACCCATGGGCCTGCAACATGGATCATGAACCTTGCAAACCGGGGCTAAACCACAACAAGCAAAAAATGGCAAGATGCTTCCCAACAACTTTCCCATGTTGACCCCTCCGCAAGTTTCACTTTCTGTGGGTTCAACGGAATATCCACTTTCCAAACAGTTGTCCAGTCCGATGTCCAGCCCAAAGATCCAACCAAACAGCCATAAAGAAAATGGTACCCTCCCACCTGCTAACATGGGTTTGTGCACAGACCCCTGTAGAAAGACGACTATCCTCTTGGAAAGGGCCCACTGTGCACTTCCATGTTTGTTGGGTATGGGTCAAAATTAAGCCACCAGGGGACCACAGATTGTAGTCCATGTTTCCACATACCAGAGCTCCATTTTGGGGTTACCCTATTTTTGACCCACAGCCAGTTGCTGGGAGATGGTAACTTTCACCAAAGTTCACATCACATCTACATGCCGCGCCCAAGGACTTGGAGATCTGCAGATCTGGCAGTCCTTATTTTTGTTCGAGAGGTCTTTGGGACGAGCGCAATGCCCGGCATAGTAAACTATGTGGCCATGGAAAATAAGAACTCCGCTGGACGTCAAGAAGCTACCTCTTAACTCTCTGAGTGTCAACAGGGTCGTCGGTCTTGAATCAAGGGAAGCCAAAAGGAAAGCACAAGGAGTCAGGGAGAGGTTTCCTTTGTTTTTTAGAAACACCCGGGTCACCGTCCCTGGCAGCCCTCGAACAAACATGCAAAGACCGAGTCTGCGAGGCATTCGCGACGCTGGCAAGGTGCCTAGCGTGCAAAGGAGGCCAAAATTCGCACGGAAAAGGATAAGCTGTCATGCAAAGGCAGCCAGAAACCAACCAACTGGCTTCGGCAAAATGGCTTGAATAGGCATAGAAACCAATGAATACGAAACATGTGATTTGTGCAGCAAACATGTTGGCGTCATGTTCTGTGGACAAGGTTTCAGGCACTAGGTAAATTATGATAGCATCCTTTGGATGCTCAACGCGCCAGTCAGGCGCCAGTCGGAGTCTAGGCCTGGAAGATCGTTTTAACAGGGACACTCTTTGAGGCTCTTTGATCTTGGGAGGGCAATTGCTGGCCCCATGATTTTACCAATATCACCCCCTATCTAAGTGGTGGGTTAAAGGGAAACCACCAACCAGTTGTTGACAATGAAATAACCAAACATCTCATTCCTCAGCTTCTGGCCCCGTCCTTTGTTGATCCTCAGAATTTGGTGATCAGAAATCCCAACAGGTGCGCCGTTGCTGGACTTGGTAAACCAAATCCACCCAATGCTTGTCTAAAGTCCCTGAAGGGTTGATGCACGAGCTGGCTCTGAAACAAACAGACAAACTAAGCTTGCAGGGGAGAAATGGGCAAAAGGTACCTGTAAACCACGAATTCAAACGGTTGATGACTCTTCCCAATTCCTCGTACTCAGGTCATTCTTTTGACGGTTCCTACTCTGGGGTTAATGTCGACTTGGGCTGTCTCGCTTTCACCTAATATTTTGGAGGTGACTTTGATGATGGTTAAATAAGAAGACCACATCTGGGGCACACAGAAAGAACACAAATTCTGGGGCTGCATCACAATTTCTACCTCCTCCAGTAGAGAGGTTAGAATAAGGGTACCCTGTTTTCTGTAGTCTATTTTAGTAGGGGAACCCTCCCAACCAAAAAAGGGGAGAGAAAGGGCAGTAATTACTGGGGGACCTAGATGTGGTCTACCTTACACATAAAAGATCGAGCTCCGGAGCCCAGATCTTGCCATGGCAGGCTCCAATCGCCTTCGATATTTTTTCCTCGTGGGAAAATTGCTGCTGCAGCCTGCCGGGCAATTGGCTGGCCCGGAAAAGATCGACATCGACTTCACCAGTTGCCCTTGGGGAACAGAGCTTGCCATGTAAGCCTTTCTTGCTTGATCGTACTCCAGTGGATCCCAGTTTTCAGAGAGAACCAGCCATGTTCCTTGCCCGTGAAGCCTTTCTTGATTGATCGTACAGGGAGAGTCATCTCTTTCAGAACTCGGAATTCCCCTCACCCCAGTATATCCCTGGTCATTGTCCTTTTTGGGTCTTGGTGGGAGGTTCCCCCCCCCCCCCCCCGAGAAAAACCTGATCCGTGCCTTTACCTGCAAAACCAGGAAAATGGAATCACTGGGTACTGCAACAGCTCCTGGAACACCACGGGTTGCTTTGCCATTTGATGTTTCATCCTGTGAGCTTGTGCGCAAAACGAATCAAAGCAAAAAATAAGCAACATGACGGGCACAGGAACCAAGCATTGGCTACAAGGGGGTCTAACTCATTGCGAGACGCATCTGACCACTTGGCAGCCCTGGTTACTGAGCATAAACATGATTTCTGGGGGAAACCAAGCACACGTTCATGGTGCTCTGATCGCCAGAAAGAAGCCTCAACCGCGCGCCTTTCCACCGACGGCCAATTAATTTCCCGTTTTGGACTCGTCTTCGTGCTCGCCCCAACCACATGTTGTAGGTACCATCCTGTATACTGCTATTTGTGAAGCACGTGCCGCAGGGTTAGGTATATCGCTTGATAGATGCTTGGGCGCATTCCTTGAAAAAAACATTTATGGCAAACCCAGCATCTTTGATTATTGTGCCGCAAGAACTTGGCCACAGCACTATGCTGTGGGCAGGGGCTTGATTGCCAAGATGTGAAGCCTGCATGAAACATCCACCTGAGACACTGACGCATCCAACTCAGCTTGCCTTTACGCAGCCCAACGAACCCCATGCGAGTCACAATCAATACCCGGTATTAAGCTGATCTACCCAAAACCATGCTTCAAGAAATTAGAAGGCGGAATTCCGCTGCTATTTCTGGTTGGGGTCGTCCCTTACTAACCAGATCATCTACCCGGGTTTTGATTGTGGCTCATATAACAACTTTGACCCATGCGGAGCTGTTCAGGCAGCCCCAAAAAGCGAAACCTCGCCATGAGTTCGTGACATTTTCAGGTGGCTTTGTCCCAAATTAAACAGGGAACTCATGTGTTCCTTTGAGTATCCTAGCCAACCCAAAAGGATACTCAAAAAAAGAAGAATATCAAATCAACAAGTTGGTTGGAGCGCCCCCCAAAAAGGATGCTCTCAAAGTAGATCAAGTCAACAAGTTGGTTGGGCCCGAACCTGACCCGTCGCTTGCCTCACAGGGCAAGGGTGCACTCCCGCGGCATGCAGAAGGCATTTCCTCGCAGGCAATGCTAAGTCGTCCTGTCAACCTTTTCGTTGGCTGAAAATGGCTCCCTTCTGTGATACCAGAGTGGGTCAATTCTGTTGAAACTTCATCACTCTCAGGAATTGCCTTGCATGATCGACAGATGGGTTTGTGATGGCAACAACTACGGGTGGTTGCATCAACTGTCTGGAAATGCTAGTCGCATCTTATTCGGAAGTAAACAAAATCGCGTGCCACTATCTTTGTGACGGAGCGGGATCCTTTCCCTCGAGTCAACGCGAAAATGTGTTTTTGCGACTGGTCCAGGTGCATGCAACCCCTTGTTCAGCAAGGACAACTATGACATCCCTGCACCAACGGCTTTCAGTCGCTGGTACAAGTGAAGCAAGTGCCAAGTGTAACTCTGCAACTTGCCGAGCTCAGCGGCCAAGAACAGGCTCTGTGCATTCTGGAATGTGCACATATCCATAAATGTCCTGGCAATAGACAAGTATGAGTCAGAACAAATCAGAAACATATTCTTCCCAGGTCAATCCGGCCGTGAGATATGCCGCGTCCTTCAAAATTCATGCGTATTCAGCACCCTAAAAATCGGAGTGGGACTTGGGGATCCATCACGACCAAGAACACAAGAAAAAAACGTGGTGGCTCTAGGAGGAACACCGTAAAGGAACTAGGTCGTCTCCAAAAAAAATGGTGGAAAAGGGCACTACTGGGGGACCTAGCCGTAAAGGAAGGTAACTAGATCCATGGCGGAAAGTCCACTTGCGAGCTCAAAGTGGGATTTCCATGCCGTTCTGAAGCGAAATCACACACCTTTTTGTGAGAGAGTCCTCAAACACATTCCATCCCCGCCAAACACTTTTATTTTGGGGAGGCGGGTGGTAGCAGTCGTGCGAATTCAACGAAAAGGACATGTTTTCTCTGATCAAAAACCGTGGGACTCGTGTTTGGGTGAACCATGACCAGCTGTCAAACAGGAGGGGCTCACCAAATATATCAAACCTGAAGCTCCCTGGGAAAGATTTGGGTCTCAGAATGGGGGACCCGAAAAAATATAGTGGTTGTTCTTCTGGTCGCCCGTTTAACCAACCCCACCAAGGGTACCTTCCAAAAAACTGAGACTCACATGTACCCCCTCTGACGAATGGATCAGCCATTAAAGGCAGTTGGGCAGTCCAACTATGCGAGTCCCATCATGCGGTTGGCCAGTACCATCAGCTTGGGAGATGGTGAGCCTGCTTGAGTCCACTCATGACCAAAGCTCTGCGTGTTCAAGACACAGCAACACCCCATGTTCCAACCACCAGATCTTGGCGCGCTGCGGAACTCGTTGTGCTCGGACAGCTCCAGGTTGGGTTCCCTGGAAGCGAACGCGTTTCAGTTGGTGGGGTTGCCTCGAATCGGGCCACACACCAAAGCCCTTTTCAGGTAGCCGTGTAAGAATTTTTTTGGGGTGAAATTGCTCCGTCGCGAGAACATGACAAACGTGACCCCATAACAGCGGCATCTGGCGGATGGCCTTTGAACAGCTCAAGTGGTGCAGTTGCGCGTTCCCCTGCCAGGATATCCCCTGCCAGGATATCCCCGTATGAGACACCTGAAGAGTTCCGTCGCACTGCTTTACAGTTTGCAGAAAGTCACACAATGTTGACCCCAGATTTGAATAGACCCTGATTTGTTGATGGGAGTTCTTCCCAAAAAGGAAGAAAGGGCGCCATTGAAGGTGTGGGTGATTGGCACTGTGGTGAGATGGCCGATGTTCCATTGCGGACCCTTTGGCGGACATCAGAATTCGCGGGGGATTCCACCAAACCCTTTTAGGTGGTTCCATCTCTCAATAGACTCAGGAAGAGCTCCCTCCATGACACGAGTTTGCGCGAAGGCAGTTCCGACAGTTTGCTGACAACCCATCTTACTAAGCGTCGCAAGTGGCGCAAGCGTCAGGAGGTCATCTAGAACAACCCCTGCTCAAGCAAAACCCGACTAAAGGACTCTGGAAACGCCTGAATATGAACCCCATACCTTGGTACGAATCCCTAGTCTAGTTGGCAATGGATTGCTAATTATGGCAAAACTATGGGAATCCAGTCTCTCGAGGGCCCAGTTCATCTATCCGTCCATACCATTCGCCTTTCATTAACCTATGAGCTCTGGCACCCGCTGTGGCTTAAAAACAACGTGGCTTTGACCATCGCCGCCGAAGGGAAGCTCATTTTGAATCGGCAGCCAAGAGGTGGTGTTGCAACTCACGACAAAAGCGGTAAATGTGGAAATCACCGTCGTGGCATTGCGGAAGTCGACTGGAGGGTTCTGCAAGACAATCGTCTGCCTTGAAGGTCTGCTGACGCATAGGAAAGAGGATGGTGAGCGGTTTTGCCGAATGAATAGAATCCTTGTGCCTATACCTGCACCTCTCATTTCCAGGCTTCTCCCGTTGAAAAATGCCTACCTCCAAACAACATTGGTGGCCGTATAATTTTCTGTCTATTCAGCAGAAGAAAAAAAAGCGCAGCCTTCTGAATCGCGCCACAATCAAAACTTGGTGTTGAGGGAGTCCACCCCAAAGGAAATAATCAACAGCTTTGGTAGGAACTCTCGGTTGCTTACTGCTCCCTGCCAAAAAAAATAACTTTTACTGGGTTTAATACGGAAAACCCATTAGTTTGCAAAAAGTTAAAGTCCTAACATCCAAGCAACATGCGCCAAAGATATGACTTGTTTAGCAGGTCTTGGCATGTGCCAAAGCCCCAAAAGCCGACTGCAGGCCATACACCGCTTTCAACACATACATACGTGGGGGACTGCTTCTCCCGGATCTTCAGCGCCAACACCTGGTCGTCAGCCTCTGCGGCGTAGCTCAAACTCGTGACGTCCGAAGATTCCCACGGCGCGGTGATGATCTCCACGTGGCTGTGGCGTTCCCAAAATGGCCCCAGGCAAGTAGAGGTGAATGGAAAGAAAGACCAACACCTGCGTAACCCTAGACCACGCCCACATCTCTGAAACCCCAAGCTTGGGCTTCCCAGGGGCATGGCAATCAAAGACCTCACAGGCGCACCGCTAGCCGACCAAAGGACGTTCGCAGGCTTCCGATTAAAAGGTGTCCCCTTTTAGTGGGGATTCATCACTTTTGGAGTGGAACGAGATCATTAATCCTGGTCAACATTACCCGGCACACATGTCGCTTGCTCAAACCTCTAAGCCGCCCACGGCGGAAACGCTTCCACGGGCAGATCTGCAGTTGAGACCTCGAGCGTCAGGAAGCAAGTCACCCACCGGAACAGTTGAATCAATGGATTTTGCAAGCAAACCAACCATGAACCTCCGCATATTGCAGGCTCCCGTGTTCCCTACTTGCGGGGGAAGCAACCTAGCCGAACTTATGGTCGCCTTGCCTCTGGTGTTAAAAGATCCAATGTTTCGCACCAAAGTATAGAGGATCCCCTTTAAATGAACTGGCGGGGACACCCCTAAACTGGCGGGGACCCAAAGTACAGGAGCCCCAAAGTAAATGGCGGGACACCCCTTTATCAATCAACTCGATAATCCTGGATTCTCATTGTTCAAGTTTGGATTCGCCTCAAACATCAAAGCGACGGCACTGGGAATCGCTTGCTTGAATAGGGCACATGTGGCTCCACCCTCTATCTTCGTCAAGGATATGTGCCAAAACCAGGTATGTCTTTGACATGTATTATCAATCTGCGTGTCCTTCAAACATAGACCCAAACGGGTTCATACTGTCCCAAGCAAACCTGCCACCCGATTCAGCTCATTCATTTCAGGGCTTCACCATGGCTTAAACTACAGAACACTTGAAGCTGCGAATATCCGGACATATGTTCCCCGCTGTTTACCCCTCTGCGGTATTTCGGGGTAGGCTTGGGGGCACAGGTTTGCCCTTAGACAACAGTTTCCGAAGCGGACCACAACCCTATAACACTGCTGCAGGTGGAAGGACGCCCTGATTCAACTACCTCCAGCCATTTATTCCGCAATATCTTCTTGGCTGTTTGGCCTCCTTTGCGCAGTTCGGGCCTCAATTCCACGAATCAACAGCTGGCAAAGCCTCTTCCCCACATTTCTGGCATTGGTACCCAGTTGGTTGTAGCTCAACCGTCAGCCCAGCCGAGCCCCCCTTCAAAACAGATCCAATTCATGTTGGCTTCTGTGAGCAGCCTTCCAAGCAAAAGGCCCATTCCATTCCGGCAAACCATCTGCAAGTCTTGCGGAAATTCCAAACAAAACCCGAAATAATTGCATCCCCAAGTAAAATACCCTCATCCTGTCTCTCGTTCGGTTTTGCTCGTTTTGCCCAGAATCGAATCGGGCCACCGCTCGCCAATTCGGCACATCTTGGGTACTAAGGATCCGGCGGTGCTCTTTGTGGACTGTGTCGGCGGGGTCATGAAGGAGCAGGTGAGCAGGGTGGGCCTCAAACACATTTCTTCCATTTGGTTAAGACCCCTAGAAAAAAATAAACATATTTCCAGTAGTGATAGATTCCCTTTAAATTTAAACCCAACAGGGGAAAATAACAAATATTCTTAAGCAAATGGAAGTCATGAAACACATATTTGTACTTGTTGCACGGGCGCGGTCCCAGAACGTACCAGCCATTGTTGAGGCTACCTTTTGCTGGGCGGTTATAATTTAGGGACAGGAGGAAATTCACCATGCGTGGTACCACCCAATTGTGGCACACCCATACACATTGTCTGCCAGCCGCCCGATCAAGGCAAATGAAGGATAATAGAACGTCTGTATCCTCTAGCCACCTTCTGTCAACTTCCATGTTAGTGGGCAGCGGGAGGAAGGTAAGTGAGACAACGAACACATGCCAAACAGAAGGCTTAAACCAATCACACAATTCTGCACAAATCAGATCCTTGAACTTGGAGTGAAGGCAGACCCACTTGCATGTGGCATTGTCCGCCTGCCAGTGTCTAAACTAGCAAGCGCTTTTGGATCCACTTTACAGGCACCACACCTGAAATCAAATGTGGATTCCCATCCAAACTCTGTGTGGCGTTTCCCCTGGGTTTCCTTCCAACCGTGCTTTCGGCTGTGTAGCTTGGCCATAAGTGTATGTTGGATGCAATGAACCTTAGACCAGCAAGACTGGCGAGACATCTGCTCACTTCCTGAGTGGCCGGAAGAAGTCTAAACTTGATGCTTACCACTAGACCCAAGTACTTCCCTAAATGGGTGTGGCTCAAAATTAAACAGGAGGGGTTACGCAGGTTTTGGTCCTTGCTTCCACTTACCAAAGTTCCATTTTGGTACTGGTTTTGTGAGCCACAGCCAAATAGTCTTCCAAACAACTACGGAACCAAAAGAAGACTCGTGACTCAGCTTCGGACAGCCCTGGCAGCGTGTCTTGCTCTCTGAGCAGAGCAAGGCCTCGGAGAGTTGGCTTTGTGAGAAGAGGGCATCCGTGGTTTCTTGAGGGTACCCGCTTCAGGTTGCTTTCACGGAAAGCCCAGAGGTCCCAAAACAAGCTTTGGTCCTGGGGTGGAAAACACTTGTCTAGTCTCTGCAGGTTCACATGGAACCCAGAAACCCTGGAGAGAAACTCCGGTTTCGACTCCATGTTGTAGGTGGCTCGCTTCTTTCTTCCTGGCATGAAGCCAGTGTCAGCGCCTGGACAAACCTGAAAAGAATCAAACCGGGTCGTTTTAAATCCCATACTCAAATGGCCATGGGTCAAAATCACGTACCCCCAGTGAACATCCCAATCCCCACTAAAATAGACTAAAATGGGTGGTTCGCCTACCCCAAAATGGTACCATTGGTTTTGACCCCCAGCCAAATGCTCACCTAAACCGGGATTTCAGGCTCCCGAGTGAACTTCCTATGGGCTATGGCGAAAGCACCGCCTTCTGTCAAGCTGGGCATCACATTTGCGTGACGCAATACTCGCCTCAACTCGTGAGAGCCCTCATGCCTTGACGCCTAGGACAATTTAGGTTCAGAGATCACCCAACCATATTTGTGCCATGGCGTTGCCCGGCACTCTCTGGACATGGGCGAACTGGGCAGTCCTCTGAGTGTTTGTGTGCATGTGTTCTTGTGGGGCAATTTACATTGCAATTGCAAACACACCATAGACAGGGAACTTCTGTCCTCAAACGCTTTGTTCAACTAACCTTGACATCACATTGCCCTTGATGCCCAAGTCTTGCACTGCCACTACCAAGTCCAGCTCAACACGAACCGAAACGGACACGTTTAGAGCCGCAACTTGCGAACCGCCTTGACTTGCGAACCTTGAACCGTGCCCTGCCCCAGAGTCTTACCACGAACAGGGGAATCCTTACAATCCCTGAATTTTGGTGTTGAAAAAGCAACTTGTTTCGAATGGTTGCAAAAACTATCTTTTAAGGAGCCCTGGCAAAATTCCTTCCCTTGGCCACCAGGCCATGCAGCAGGGCTGCTCGGAACGCCACCTGATCCAGCGCTGCTCGCAAGGCATTCTGAGGGAAATCCTACGGTGGATGGTTGCGAAATCCATTTCGCACCACTTGGAGTTTCCGTGGTTGAAACCTACTTGGGACTCCTTTAAAAGGATGGGGTTTAAAGGAAACCTACCTGGAGGTACTGTGGATGGTTGCGAAATCCGTTCGCACCACTTGGAGTTTCCATGGTTGAAACCATGAGGTCTATTATTGGTATTTACAGGGGGACTTCATCAGAAACCAGGGTTTCTTAGGTGGTGCGAAATGGATTTCGCAACCATCCACAGCAAGACCTCAAGGTGGGGGTTGTCCAAATTCTGGCCCCCCTGTTGGAGCCTGCCTCCTTTAGAGGGAATACCAAGCAGGGCCCCAATTTGGACAACCTGTTCTTTGAAGGAAAAGGCCAGGGAAGGTTGGGGGGAGGGAGTTGAATCCTATGAAAAACATGAGTCAAATCACCTAAACTCTTCAAGTTGCTTGCGCCGTACGCCGGCCAGCCAACGTGAACCCAGTTTGGGCACACTCAACTAGTGAGTTTTACATTATTGGGGACCTCCCGCTCTTTGAAAAAGAACCGGGTATGGAGGCTTCTATGGAATCGCCTGAGGGAGGGTATGCCGAATTTCTCCAAGAAAAGGGTCCCCCAAGAGAAAATTGCTCCAAACATATGACCGTTTGGAGAAATAGACGTGGAGCCCATTCATTTCTTACCAAACTGACCTAAAAAGGACACCTAATGTATTAAAGTCTAGAGATCCAACCCAATACCCCCGCTAAAAGTTTAACTTTTAGTGGGTGAAATGGAAATTTCCGCTTACAAACACTAAAAGGATCTAAAGAGCTAAGGAACCGGATGGCTGGGAACCACCAAGAAAGGCTTGACTTTTTGGCGACCCAACGGACATGGCTGCGGTTCCCTTTTCGTCATCTTAGGTGTCCGGGTCCCAAACATGATGAAACACGTGTTGCTCCGAAGGTCGATGGCAACCGAGCTTCTGATGCTCAAGGAAAAACCTCCACGGATTTTGCCACCGTCCACAGCACGGCGCCACAGCGATGATGGCCTCGTCACAGTCCCAGCGCCGCAGCCGCTGCACCAAGCGGGCGTCGATGGCCGAGAAGCCTCGGGGTGGAACCCCAAAACAGACGCCCCGTGAGTCCATTTCCCTGGCTTTGTAGGTAGGCAAGGGCTTGCCACCTTTCAAAAACTAAAAAAAGGAAAATGGCTGGTTACCTACTATAGGACTACTATAAGGGCTTTCCTAGTTTTGTAGGCAACCAAAAGCTGGTCACCCTTAAAAAAAAAAAAAACAGAGAATGGCTGGTGATCTACGATAGGGGCAACTGGGATCCGCTAGGAGAGAGGGCTTCAATAGATTCAAAAAAGAAGCCAAAAGGGTCCATGGGCGTTCCTTTGGTTCAAATACCCCAGTGCTTTTCAACCTACCATTCAACATAACATGTGTGGAAGGACATATCAGCTCCAATTTACAATTCAACCCTGTATATCCCGTAGTTTTGCTGGGTGAGCTATTCTTCAAAAAAAGCCCATGCCTTTAACGGAGAATGCGCCAAACCCGAAGCTTAATCGTCGGCGTGTCGCAATGGGAATGGTGCACATCGCTGCTTAGCCAGCATGGATTCCGACTTAGAGGCGTTCAATCGCAATCCAACAGACGATAGCATCGTGGTATTAGCATTTCAACCAATGTCAAATGCTAGTCGGTTTTGCAGGAGGCCATCCATGTTTCAAACGAGCAAACTCAACCCACCAAAGGAAACCTAGCTTAAACGGTGATGTTCAGATCAACCTCTGACTCCAATGGAAAAAAGAAGAAGATCCGATTGGAAGTCCATAGGTTGGACTTGACTCATTCCCGAAGAACCAGCAGGGAGCGCAATGATGGTCGCGTCAAGGCAACTGCTCGTTGATCCGTCTGCGTTGTCGAACCCAAAACCCAGAACTCTTGACCCGCAGCTGGGTGAGAGTAGCTGGCATTTCCTCCAAATTTGGGTATAGTCATCGCCTTTACTTATACAAAGAACTGTGCCATCTATTTTCCCCTGACCTTGACTCATCTCCTAGGTCCTGCAGTGGAGAGGTTAGAATAAGGGTACCAACTTGTTTCTGTAGTCCAATTTTGTAGGGGAACCTTCCCAACCAAAAAAGTTGGTAAACAAAAATCACCTAGCTGGGGGACGAGTTACTCGTCTCCTTTAAGGGGCCCAACGGCAACGCCCGATTTGTTTCTCTGGGCTGCGCGGCCATAGAAGGCCCCGGCCATCTGACCGCAAATGGCACCTGCCGAATGGCAGGCTCGCGGACACCACCAAAACACGAGCCCGAGCCCGAGTCATCAAGGAGCCTAAGGAAGGAGCTTCCGTATAAGGAGCTTTATAAGGAGGTCTTTATAAGGAAGCTTGCAAGGATGATCTTATAAGGAGGCTTGTAAGGATGCTTATCTCCAACCACGCTTTAGGTTCCAACTCTTAAATTCATGGCCAGGCGATGGACCTAAGCCTGCACCAGTTGGATGAAAGTCGATCTCAACTGTTTCGTTTAGTGG